AAGCCCCCCCCCCCCCCAAATACAAGTACTTTTAATATCAATATCTATCTACTGAAGAGATAAAAACCAAAACTGGGTTAGAAGTACTTCTAGAAAAATCTACTCATAAATCTAAAGTATTTATTTACTTCTTGAATAAACAGAATTTTCAGGTTATAGCTAACTGTAAAGTAGCTCCCAAAAATAATAAAGTGAATTAAATATCCAAAGTTCTAAAGTATAAACATAGGTAATTAGTTCTCTATGGGAGAATTAGTTTTATTTTATCTTCAAGATCAAGTACTTTTGAAATGAAAGAGATATGTCACTCATATCTACAAATTTTGCCCTTGTTTTTCCACCATGTAAGTTTACTTTAAAACGAAAGTATTATAGAAACTGAAAATGTTTTAAAGGTTGTATTTGTTGCTTGGTTAAATATGCAGGCAATTCTCATTCCCCAAGAGTTATCATATTGGGTTACAGATAGCTCTACATAGTATACTTAGAATAAAAGGTTTCTGCCAACAAATGATACTTAAATTAATTCATTTTTATGGGTACAGTATTAATTAGGATGCAAAAAACTGAAAGTTCCTCAGCACCTTTCTAATACACAAAGTATTCACAGAAGTCACTGCAATTCAAGCCCTCAGGGAAAAAAAAAATGATAGAAAATGAACTTTTTAAAATTAAATGAGGATCTTATGAAGTCAAGAAAGAAATGCAGAAGTTTTGCCTTTTTTACAGTGAATTTTTCCCTTTTGATTCAGTATTACAAAAGAACTACAAACTAGAGTTGTTCAACATAGAAAGCTCACTAAAGATCTTGGTCCATTTAGAAGTATTTCAAAAAAAAGAGCTCAGAATGTAGGCATCTAACCATTTTAAATATACATTTAACCAGTTCAGTCCACTGTGATTCTTAACCCTTTCAATCTAGAAAAGTCATCGTCCATAATTGCAGAAGAAATGTATTCATGGACATTTGGAAACAAATGTGGTCAAATAACAGGAAGTGTTCCCTAATAACTCAACATAAACATATGTAAATACGTAAATATTTTCAAATTTCTATGCCCCCTCCCACTTCCATTGTTTCAAAGGGCAAACGTAAAGTTGCACTTATTCCAGAAGTCCTAATATCAAGCATGACAGAAAATGTGTTCAACTATGAACTAAATTCAAGTACAGCCTCCCTCAGGAACAGATTTTAACTCAATACCGTCTACCACTTCACCAAGAATCTAAGGGTTCATATCAGTGCATATTTTCTTATACTTATTAGAAACTGTCCTGAAGATTAAGAAAGGAAGTTTTATGACCAGCAGTTTTATGAAAACGGAGAGGAAGAAGAAGAAGAAAGTGTTGCATTCGGTCTTCTGGATGTTGCAGGCATCTCCTAGGACCCAAAGGAAGTTGATGCTTAGGCTCCTTCCGAGAGTGTGGTACCCGTATGTTAGGACTTTCACGGAGGTAACACCGCGCTCCCGGGGCCTGGAACCAATGCAAATTCTAAAGCCCCGGCAATGCTCTCCCTAAAGGAAACTTCAGCTTGCGTTCAGAAACGATCGCCAGTCACCGAGCGTCACCGGGCTTCTCGCCTAGGCGGACAACACAGCCTCGACCGAGAACGAGGAACGCCGCCTCCAACTCCACTCATTTCTTCCGGAAAACTTTTAAGTGAGACCGAAGCCAGCAAAAGGTGCAGAGGCCCCGACGGAAGTAGAAACCCGGGGCCGGCAACTTCCCAGACAACAACGTCCCGGGTTCCTCCGCCAGCCCGGGACCCTCCGGACTCCGTCTCTACCGCCCGGCGGGGGCTTCGGCCTCGGGGCGCGGCGGCAGAGGAGGCACCACAGCTGCACTCCTCCTTCCAACACCCGAACCCTTCGGTATCCCAGAGCCTGCGGGCTCCCGAGACCGTTAGTCCAATACCACACTATTACAGATCCCTATTCCCTCCCCACACACACACACACACACACACACAAGTTGCAGGTGATGTGCGTGTACGGAGAGAATGTGAACAGCCCGGGACCGCGGCAGCTCAGGGGAAGGCGGCAGCGCCGTCTAGAGCGG